CTGCTAAGAGCTTCTTGTGAGCTTGGCGTTGAAGCATTTTCTCCTCAATGGTGCCCGTCTGAAAACGATAAAGTTATAGGTTCTGCAACTTCAACGAATGGGAAACCGGATAAGATAGGTCTGTACTGTACGATCCAGCACAGAAACTCACCGAAATCAACCGGTAGATGTAACATTCCTTTTTTTGACCATCCCGCCAAACCCTAGCCATTGCTTGCTCGTCATTGGCTGGGTTCCAGTCAGGATCGAACATGACCAGACGGTTCGCGCCAATCAAATTGAGGCCACAACCACCGGCTTTGCTGCTCAGCATGAAAATGAATTCTTGTGACTGGGAAACAAAATGTGCCAAGGGTGAAACAAGGTTAGAAGTCAATGCTGGAACAGTGCGTTCTGTTGACTTGCCGGTTCACTTAATTCATTCTTACTGTGATAATAAGGGGAAAAACATCCACAGTTCAAAAAATAAACTCATTTGCATATAAATTTAGTACTCACGGTGGATTCATCTGAAACCCAGCTGAATCTCTCGGTTATATTCTATATCACTGTGTCGGTCATCAGGAAGACGTCACCGTCGAACAGCTTTTCTATCTCATTTCAGATTTCCGATGGGTACGGCTATCTGAGAACTCTTGGCACAGTACCCAACTACTTTCGCCAGTAGCCTTGAAATTTCCGTGTATTTCACCTCACACATGAAAGTTCACACATGGCTATCATAACCGGCTTGCAAGTACCAATGAAGAGTACCAAATTAAAAATATTCCTCTACCGTTTACAACTACCGTCGTTGACTATCTGCAGGAGGAATCAACGGCTCATTAGAAACCCCACTATGGATTTACCAGTGAACTTACCGTAGGGTCATTGAAGCGCTCCACGATCTTGGCGCGTTTTTTTATCGTCATTGTGCCATCCAGGCGGACATATATGTACCTGAAACAGAAGGGTTCAAATTGTAGTTGAACATACCAGCACAAACGGGCCAATTCAGAGAAATATGAAAGTATTCACGATGAGTGCGTGCGGATTATGCGACAAAAACCTGGAAGACCTCATATACGGTTCACCAGAACCAAAAAAATAGCCAGCTGATAAAGCGGACGTCTGATGGACCACGGCCGTTGTACAGTCACTCACAAGTCACCCTCCTCATCAAACGTCTGAGTTCTATAGAAACATGTTCTTGTGAATAAATACGAAAGACGAGAAATATACTCATCTACGTACCAATATGATATTCGAGAGAGACCCAAAGAAATCTTAAATGAGGTTCACGTTTGTGATATTCTTCAACTAGATGTGCCGCAATACGATATTCGAAACAGTCCACGGTCGGTTTCTAGCAAAGTTACGGGCATTTTCCGTCAAGAAAAACGAAAGCGATTGCAATAACACAGGGAACCGATTCATAGATACCAAAACTCACCCCCTCATGGCACAAAGCCGTTCAAACAGATCAAGCGTCTGGGTGTAGTTGGAAATCAAGACGACCTTGTCCGAGGTGGTCGTGCGGATCAGCGCTAACAGGTAATCTAAGACCTGAAACTTGCCTATAAATGGATTGAAAGTGGAATATGCATGATATATTCAAATTAAACGTTACTCTTAGTTAATATACTACCCAGGACCAGTTCAGTAGTGATGTGATTCTCACCAGCTCAACGCGCGAGCCCAAAATTGACCTATGTGACCTATGTCAAGTAAAGAATAACAAAAATACGACCTATTGCATCAGGTTACCACAATTTGGGGGGAATAGTGGTTTGTAAAAATCACCGTTGCTCGAAAATGGGGCGCCATGATCAGGCATCTGAAATACGATAACCAACCCAACACTCGCTACAGTTGGATACCACCTAGAGCAAGCTCGCTCCATTTGACCTATTGTTTGTTCAAGCCATCGTTGTTCCTGAATTTTCTACGGCTGTGGTGCGACGTCAGTTGTTAGTTGTCTCAACAGCTTTAGGCTGTTAGGTGAGTTCATACGTATTCCTGTTCATCTGATCGCGCCGGAAGGCAAGTAACATCTTCGAGGTTGTTTGAGGTTTGGCCGTGAAAGCGGCATTGCACGGAATTACATCGGTATCCAGTAAAAGCACATAGGTCTCTATGAATCGAATGGTGCACAAGGAAATGACCAGTAGGCGACCGATACATGAGCAAGTGAACAGTAATGCAACATCGATGGTGAAAATGCTCAGTCATTACATTCCGATGCTTGAGGTCATTGTGATGGGTGCGCCGTACCACATGGGACGGTAAAAACTTTGGAAAACGAGGACCTACAAACCAGTTAGGCTAGGGAATGCCAGGGCGTGAAATGAAAACAACAGTGTCAGTCAAACGAAAAATACATTCAGCTGCATTCCAATTTGGTTATCACGGTTTTAGATACACCTGAATCCCAGCTGAATCTCTTGTTTATGAAGTTCTTCTTGAGATATCTCGAATAGCGTATCCACTGAAACATGAGAATGCCTGGTGCGGCACAATCAATTGATGGAGAACATAATAAGCGAGAGATTAAGCAGAGATTCAGTCGAGTCTCTCTGAAAACCAAGCTGGTATGCAAATGAATGTATTTGTCAGATATTACTGTCCTTCTGAGCTTCCTGACAGATTTACTGGCCCTCACCACTTTCAAGAATACCCGAGGAAGTAAATTGATCCTTTCGTTTGTGCTTTTCCAGCAACTCACAGGTGCTGTTTAAGACCTGAGAGCAACACTTATTTGGTTGACTCAGTGAATATTGCCAGTAGTACGTTCCGCGCGGGGATAACTCAACTGGAGTACCAGTTCACGCAGGAAAGGCCATCTGAATGAAACACTTTCAGCTTGAGGTTGTGGCTGCAAGCCTGAAAATCTGATAGCGCAGTGGTAACTGGCTCGATAGTCAGATAGAGTGTGAAAAGAAGACAACGACGTCATAGTCTGAGCCAGCTTTCGAGCTGAACTAACCAGAAAGTGAGCACTGACCTATTTTATGTACGGAGGGCTAATTCGGTCCATTTGTTTGCAAATTTAGGCAACAAATTTTGCGGCGGGAAACGCCTTAAAATCCACCACGACCATGTATGTAATTAAATGTGTGTAGATATCTAAATTAAGGTGAATTGTCATTTGTACGACTTACTATTGTGTGGGTAACAAGTGTACAAAGTAAAACGGTATGTACAATAAATGAAACACTATTCGCTGGGTGTTACGCTTTTTCTCTCTCTTCTACCCTGGAGTGCATCCGTTAGTACACCCTGTACTAGCCAAATCCTACAAAATATCGCGAAGGTAGACCCTGAAATCAAAGATTACGTCTTCGGGTTCACCTTACTCGACTTCACCCAGTAGTATATTTGGAAATGCTTTTTTCCCTGAAGTCAAGCCGTTTTAGCTTCACTCGAGACGTTGCGCCGTTGGTCATGATCGATTGGTTCCAATATGTTAGTTACTTCGTAATCCAAACGTCAAAAATGGTCATTCTTTCGGTCTCTTACAAGGAGATAATCTGAAAGCAAGGAAATGCTAAGCCCTCAGCATGAAGGTGGAAACAGTATGTGAGCCGACTACTATAACAACAGTATCAAAAGCAGTGATCGTTCCGCTAGCAATGATGTTGAACGTGAGACAATCGGAGTAGCGATTGGAAACGAGTTTATGATGCAACTGAACCACTCGAATATATGAAGTTCCGTTTCTTGATGGCTTCCAAGGTTTTATGAATCCGATACTCTGCTGAAGATGAGCATTTCATCAGGGACCAATAGAATGCGTTAGATACAGTATGGACAGGAGGACATCGATTTCGTTTCACAAGGTTAACAGCCAACTTGTTTCACATCCGTCCATAACCCTGGATTTTTTTCGACCTAGGTATATTAATCCCCCGAGTTTCGACAGCTACCTGTAACTATGTAACTATATGCAGTACATATTAAGAACAAGCAGGTTGCCTCGAAGTTGACAGGACACTACATTGAGAGATTCATCTGGGGGGCAATTGAGTCTCCCGTTAACATCAACTAAGTTTGCAAATGAGTGTATTCCATTGATCACTGCTGTGTTTCGAGAATACGGGGCAGACAAAAATTTGTTGCTACTTGTATGGGATAAGTAGTATATACACAACAATGTGGTAACAATGCTCCTCGACTGGTTTCGGGCTCATATGTTGAACAGTTCCGCGTTGCTAACCCGTGGTCCACACAGTATATTTGAGTGACTTGATGTATCCTACATCGGGCAGAGATCAAGGCCATCGAAATGAGTACCAAAGGTCAAAGGTTAGTGACAGTTATGCTATTCGGTATATAATGCGTTTGATCACTTCATTTGAGGGGAAGATTTTTACAAAGGGTACTAGTCAACTTTTATTAGTTCCGTCACTGATAATACCCCACAAGTTGCGTATTCTGCGACATTCAGCCACTTATAAGGTCAGAACGGTAATAGCTGTCATCAATAAGTGGCTCTTGAGTGCTGAAGTGCGATTTCACGGAATTTTCGAAGCGGTATTCTGGGCGTAATCGCGGTGAGATGGTAGTGGCGAACTGCAAGCTGTTTTGATTTTTTTTTCGGATTTGTTATATTATCGGTCAGTCTAACTGCTATTCCTTTGTAAGAGAACCCACGACTTTGTAGCAAGGAACTTTCTGTAGAAAGCTAATTAACGCAGCTCACTCATCACAATGGAAAGTATCGGGCGACTAATTTCGCCTAGCCGTCAATACTGCACCATCGCTCATCCTTTGATGTATCATTCAACGTTCCATCTTTACTGGCCCAGCCCACACACACACAGTCACCTGTCGTAAACATCACATCAAGTCCGAACAATCTCGTTAACTCAACCGAACTCCCATCACCACATGTTGTGACTTGATCAACGGGGCGATAACCAAAGACAAGGATGACTGGTATTGTATGCAGCACTTTTTGTTATTACGAATTCCAATAAACCAAGCCAGTGCTTGGGTCAGTAAGACTCGAATGAGATACCGATGTAAATACGAGGGTGCATTCAGTCACGCCTAAATGATCAGACGAATCACCAGACGAGTTTGCAGTTTTGGTAGAAGGTGAGGAAATTTTGAAGTCCTCAATTCCATAAGTCCACTACGCCTTTACTAACAAACCAAAAAGAACCGCACACCACTCTTGTGGAGGGTGATCAACATGAACTTCTGGGGCATTATAACTCTTTTTTGGAGAACGGTTCACAGTTGACAAAGTCGACCGATCCGTTCGATGCGCCAAGGCATCAGGAAAAGTGTGGACCCTAGCATCACCGCTCTCAACCCCATACCATCAGTGGAGTATGTTGTCCCACTCAGTGAGATTTTGTTTTTGAGACATAGTGCGTACACATCCTTTAGGTTAGAACCAGAAGGCATTTGAGTGGGGATTTAAAACGATAACAGAAGTGCGGGCCCCCAGATAAAGCTACTATGTAGTTGCAACAAACCAGAAAGATCCGGTCGGAACGGCGCGTTGGATCCCAACGAGCCACGATAATCTTGTGGGAAATGTGCCAGCGCATCGACAAATCCGTCAGAGTTCGTGGCCATTTTGTCGTAGACCAAGTCAGGGTCTAGAAATTCAGGGAGGAGAAAACGGGCAAGAATATGTTTAAAAAGAAGAAACTCTGGGGTATTTATGGTGAAGTGTTAGAAGACACGACGATTGAAACTTTCGAGAGAATGAACTGTGATTCCGTCCGTGGAATAGTAAGGAAACAAGTTTGCATGCATCCAACACTATTACAGAAGGTCAAAGGCGATTTCGACTGAAATGGATGGATAAAGGTGAGCAGGGTCGCTGATCCGAGTAATAAGGGCTGCGTGAAGAACGGAGAATATAAGGTCGACCGAAACCAAGGCAAAATGAACAAAGTATTCAAGTATTGCTTATAAATTAGTGTTTGGGAACAAGAAATCACGTCATGATATTCGGCTAGTTATGTGTTTGCATTACAGGGTGGGCATTTTCGGCAATTTCCGGGTTGACTATGCCCCAATCAGTAGTGAAAATCGTCACCAACAGTTGTGATGAACCGACGTCATGATATTCGGCTAGTTATATGTTTGCATTACATGGTGGGCATTCTCGGCAATTTCCGGGTTGACTATGTCCCAATCAGTAGAGAAAATCGTCACCAACAGTTGTGATGAACCAGCTGACTGAGATATAGCGAACCAGGAGAAGCGGACGGAAGGTAACACGGGTGACTACTACTGAGTAATACGAACTGAATGTGGAGAACGGACGACAGGAGGAACAGAGAAGACGCATCTGTAGGATACATGTGACTGGACACTGTGGCATACTACACATAGATCTGTCCCTCCTCGAAACAGCCCCTCCTTCGTGAACAGAGTAACGCGACGGCACCGTAAACAACGTACTATTTTCTGCTGGGTTATGCGTGTTCATGAAGTGAAGCGGTCTTCGGTGGTAGATAGCCACAGCGAACTCGAAGGTCCCGGTTGGTTGTGCATATTGAAGTGGAAGTCGAACTGACCTAACTTCCGTTTCGCGATGAGCACATCCCGGCAGTGGCTGCGCACATAACTCAAGAGATTGGTATCGGTAGGCAAACTCCTCAACTGCTTCGACAACTAGCTTGGTTGCTTTAATAGCAGTTCAGCTCATTTTATCGGCCGTAAACCATGTACTAAGGGTACATTGGTTTCGGTTGCTACAGTTTGGTCCACCGGAAAATGAGTGCGAGGATATGGCCAAGCATTGGAGTCGATGGCATAATCATAGTTAGTTCGTGCCATAAATTGCTTTGCAGAGAGAGGAAAGCGAAACTGCTATTTTAACATGCCACTCATCGAAAAAACTTACGGTTGCACAGCTTCTTCAGATGCGTTATCGAGGCCAAACTAGACACGGATAAGGCTGGTCCACGACCCGAGTCCATGCTTAGGCGAGCAGACACTTCACGAGCCTTCCTGGCTACAAAGTCTGCATAGACCATGCGCTGACCGGGTGTGAGGCTACAGCAGACGACCTGTTCAACTGAAATAGAAAGATTCAGTTGTGAAAAGTGAGCAGCCAAGTAGAATTAATCAATATCAATGGGACTTCAGATATTCTCCACCTTCATTACGATTAATTTAGAACGGAGGATTTAAACGGCATAACATATGTGTGAAATCACAGTCGAATTTCCCTCTTATGACCACCGTTTTAGGTCAGTCTTGTCAGAATACTACTATGACGCTCATAAAATGGGCAAACACCTGTCAAGGTCACATGCTACCTTCCTTCATCACCTTTATCGACTTTCACGGAGTTGAGAATGCCGTCTGAACCGTCACAAACAAATTGGAGAAGGCATCGGATTAGGATTCGTTGATGGCGCAGCATCGGTCACGGAATTCCACTGTGCAATTTGTCTGATATTGTGGCATCTTCATAAATCCTGTGGTTCTATACGCCCAATACGGGCTATGATTGCACTATTGAAGGTAATTTTAGTTCAGGACCGATCACCAGTCGGATCCATCCGGTCATTTCTCCTTTGCTCAGTTTTAACATCAACGACACCATAGAGTCTATCATGCACGGACTCAAGGGAACTCTACTTCCACCAGGAAGTAGAATTAAAGGTTTTGATCGCCTGGGTAACACAGTATATTAGCAACCAACCAACGCCACCAAACGTTTGGCAGCAGACGTTCAGCGTTATGGAGTGCTCCCGCCATCGCTGATGTCGCTAACAGCTCCAGAAGCTTGGAAAACCTCGGTCTGTAATCCTCATGGGTTCCGTCATCGGCATCCTGGCAGTGCCTCTTCTCGCCCTCTGTTTGCGCCTTGTCCACTGTCTTCCATACCGTTAAGTTTATTCAAATCCACACACAATTCACACAAAGTGTGTCTGGATAGTTATTTACGTTGTATTAGTATGATATGGCCAAGCGAACGCGACTACCTCCTAAACAGGATGAACTAGCTTCCAAAGTGTCTCGGATAGACGTTGTCCAGCAGCTACGTCCGGCTACCAAGTCAGCACGAATCTCGATCTGGCGTGTGCTCCAGCTTGGAAATCCCATTGTTTTGACTCAACACACGGCGGTGGAACTTTACAGTCGTCTCTAAGGAAAATGCTCCGCCAGGAGAATGCAATGAGTAAAACACCATCTGCCACGGGGCTCCAAACAGCGGATTATCTGGGGACATTTTTGGAGGCACAAGCAGTGACCGCAATCGCACAGCAAAACATCTATTCCGACTGAGTGAAATCCCCATCAACTGAGTAAATTTCCTGATTAAAACTTCTGCCACCTTGTACAGCTTTATTTCATTCGAGCCAGTTTTACAAAGCATAAAGGTAAGTCCTGATGAACAGATGGACTTCAGACGGGCAGAATACGTGGCTTAGTCAGAGCAGCCACAGCAACTTGTCTATCATTGACAAATGTCTTCATCCGACGAAACTCAGCATCACCGATCACATGTTTACACGAAACCTGAGCGACGCTGTGAATACACCAGTGTGTGCATTGTGATGCAGACATCCATGACTCCGACGAAGAACATCAACACCCCCCGGGCCGATTCCATAAGTACTTTCGATATTCGCGTGTGAAAACTGCTTGGGCAAATGAAGTCTCCGGCTCAAGCATGACATTCAGGTTTGCTCTTAAAACAATACAGAAGTTTGCACCTGTGAATTGCACAAGGAGTCTTCAAGCAAGGTGTTGACCATCTGTGTGCAACTCAGCACACATGTATAGATACGCGTATGGATACTTCTGAAAAATGTTAGGCTTACTTTTCACAGGCAAATACTTTGTAAGTAGTGCTTGTGTTCGGCGGATGATGCATCGGTTGACAATAACAAGGAGCTGTAGAAAAAAGAACAAAACGGTAGTTTTATTGCAACGGCAATTCAACTGACCAGTTCATGCGTATTGAGCAGCTTTACACGGGACACAAAAGCCAATGATCATTCAGCTGTAGCATCCTTTCGGTGCCTAGCTACCATGCTACACGAAGGGGGCACAAGGGCTGGGATACTGCCAGGTTGCCCAAGCCTAGACAGGGGAAGTCGAGTGGCAGAGGTCGGGTTCGAGCCACGAAACCTTCCGGCCGTAGATTCGCCCTCTAACCACTTGATCCATCTCGCCCAAAAAACAATGAATCAAAGTCTGAACGGCTATCGCGGTTGCCCCCTCTGTTTAAAAACGTCAGAATATGGTCTGACAAACGATCAACACACTGTCGTTGATGCTAACACACATATGCCAAGCCTCATCAATGAAAAAAGGAGTGCGATCTATTTCACAAAGGTTTGCTAGACAATAGGTGGATTTATTGTTGGGCAATGTTTCACAGTCGATACAAGGCTTCGTCAGGTCAGGTGAGTAATTTGCCATGTTGACGTATTTCAAGGCAGACGGAGAACCAATCAGTGAGGTCTCTTTCAACTAGCAGACTTGGTGCTGAGTGTCAGACAGAAGTAATTGTTGGTTATTGTGGATGACTGGCACTTACGACCGATGGGTTAGGGTGAAATTACCATCAGACCAAATCGTGTTTTGGGCCCTGCTCTTCCGATTTCTCCTAAGAGTTGTTCACAAATTTCGTTGATCCGTTTAGGTCAGCAAGTACCACGATCATTGGGACTTCAGCGGACTTCCGTCGGCTCGGGTTTCGTATTTTGTCCAATCTTTGTGAAACGATGACTTCTCCAATTGAGTGAAGACTGGAATCCATGCTCAAAAAGGCGTACTGAGACTCAGTTATACCGGACAAGAATGTGGACGTCATCCGGTGTTGACAAATAAAACGAGCTATCGCCAACCGCACTTCCGAAACCGTACACAGCGAAGGTTTTTGGTGTAGTGAACCTGGCCTTACAGTTCCCATTTCGGAAATCTGCAATTTATTCTGAGTGCTAAGCAGTCACAAACTCATGAGCTGGTATCCGTCTAATAAAACAGCCAATCACATTGGTTATTGTTTTTGTATACAGGACCTCCCCAAGAAGGATCACCATTCGGACGAAAACGTTGACTTAGACCTCTGCTGAATTCGTCCCCTATCGGAGAGATGCCCGAAGTTACGAACTGAATCGCACTCTTCGGGGCCATTCTTCGGCGGGATGGGGATGATTTTCACAGTTTAGGCAAGTGAGCGATGCCATCATGAAGAGGAAGCTAAGGGGGTGGTGCTTGTAGAAATTTGTGAACTCTTGCCTTTGCCAACTAGTAAGACATCTAATCGATCACCAGAAAGATAACGTTCTCATATGTCTATGTGATGCTTTAAAATCTGTGAAATCTGACTTCCCATGATATTTTAACGAAGACGATTCAAATTCGGAATGGCAGCAAGTGAACTGATGTCAAGGGGTCAATAAGACGTAGTGATCATATAAAAAAAAGAACTGTTCGGGACATGTACCTCTTGTAGTTTTTCTTCTCCCTTCTTTTGGTCATCCTCAGTTGCATCGGCATCGCGACCACGAAGTATCGGTGTCTCAAAACGTCGTCGAAAATCAGCGGCAGTGCCCAACAAACCCAGGTTGACGAAATGCACCAGACTGAAATACTCCAACAAATCGTTCTGAATTGGTGTCCCCGAGAGCAAGACACGACGGGAACAGTTGAGCTGTACAAGAGCCTGATAGGTTTGGTTCTCTGAGTTCTTTAGACGATGTCCCTGGTAGTGAATTAAAACAGTTTTGAAAGCGTTTAGTGACATGACAGGGCTTATTGATGTAACAAAAAGACCATTACCACACAAAATACGGGGAAACACAGTGAGGTGTGGTTATGGAAGAGGGGAAGGTGAGATGCGCAGCTTAGCGAGAAATAGTGATAAAACGAAACTTCGTTCCACACCATGTTATCACACAAGGTGTACAAAACACGGATGGTGGTCGCTCTGCACAGTAGCTACCAGCTACCCACAAGAAGCACGTCAGAGGAGATATCAACCATTTTATCAATCGCAGAGACACAACGATCCGGGTAAGCTCCAGTAGTAAGACTTTTGAGGCACATGCTTGCGCCTTAACCTCTATACCGACGTAAGAGACTGAACGAAAGTGTAACAGCACCTCAGAAAAGTCCGCATGCACCTCACCGAGTTCAGTGAGATTTGTGATTGAATTCGAATTCGTGGTCAGCATCTAGTTCAAATTCCGAGCTCAAGATAGCATCAGCAGCAGCATCAACATCAGTGTTGACACTGATTCTTCACTGTTGTACAACCATACAGTTCGTCTAATTATATTTAAAGTCATGGGATGAAAAGAAGGGAAAAAAGTGGATGGGAGAGTGGACCTAGTGCTGGCCTATGTCAAGCAATCTGAGGTGCCTACACCTCCAACCGATCAATCGGCCAATCTGGAAAGAGGCTGACAGCACGAACGCCACTGACATCGATCAGCCGCCATTTCTTACAATCTCTGCACAGGTGGGGTCACAGTGACCCCACACTGGAAGGCGTACAATATCAACAACACCCAACCTCTTCGTGATCTCTTTCACGCCCTTCTGTTAAGCCATAAGTTGTCCACCCCGCGGTTCGCTCCATTGTGAAGGAGGCATGGGTAACGACACTTGTCTAGGTAGACGGTGTTCCGGCATGCGCAGAACATCGCCGAGCCATCGTAGTCGATGGTGCTGAAATTTTTCCGCGACTCAATCATCTGTTCTATACCCAAATACCCGTTTTCTAATGGCCACCTCACTAATCCGCTGACGCCATCCAAAACCAGCCACGCTTCTGAGGCATCAGTGGTCAAAGGCCTGAAGACTCCCCACATCATCAGTCCGCAGAGTCCACGCGCCGCACCCATACAACAACACAGCCCTTACTGTAGCCTGGTACACACGACGTTTAAGATCTCGTGAGATACCTTTTTGATGCCACGAATGAAACAAGTTAGCAAACGTGATTTTGGCTTTTGTGGTTCGTGCACTGACTTGATCAGACACAATTCCGTCAGAGTTAATACAACTACCGAGGTATGTAAATTTTTCCACAATTTCTAGTGATTCTTCTTGAGTTGCAAACGATATGTTCAGAGACCGCACATTCAGAAGCATGACTTGCATTTTGGAAGTGCAAGGCACATGCCAAAAGATGGTACGATGGTTGTCAGTCTATTCGACAGGGTCCGTGTTTCGGTTTGATCTTCAGAGATGCGTAATCCAGATCAACATGGCTCTAACCACCAACCATCTGAACATGGGGGTTTGGAAGACCTTCCAGCGTTCGCCTATTTGTTCATCAATGATGAAACTGAGCAAGACTGGAGAGAGTGGACATCCTTGTCGGACAGCACTTTTTGTAGGGAAGCTTTTCGAGAGCTCACCATACGCCAAAAAGTACGTGGATACATGGATCGGATTATGTTCAAACTTCTGGGGCATACCCCGCTGAGCGAGTTTAATTAACAGCACTGACCGATCGACAGAATCAAGCGCACCCTTGAAGTCAAGGAATACCAATCTTATTGGGTCGACTGTGCATACGGCGTTGCTCGAACACCTGATGGAGTGTGGAGATTTGGTCAACGAAGCCTCTGCCCGGTCGAAATCTAGATTGATTCTCGCGAGTCAAGGTTCGGCGTGCCACCGTAAGACAACAAAGAATCAGTGACGCCAGAAGCTTTGTTATAACAGGAGTCAAACTAACACCTCTGTGGCTGCTACATTCACTGCGAGTACCCGTTTTGAAAATAAACACTACTATGGACCCATCCCAAATGTCTGGGACGGTCGCCTTCTCCCAAATAGACCCAAAGAGGCTAAACAGGCACTAGCTGAGATACCCACCGACATCCTTGAACAGAGTAGATGGAAGGTCGTCAGTACCTGCAGCACGATGACGCTTGGGTGAAAAATGCACTCGGACACTTCTGAGACTGAAGGCCGCCCCATATTCATGGTCCGTCTTTCTGTTGAAGGCCAGGATTCTGGACTGGAGATGGCAGGTGGCCAGCTGAATTGCTGTTCGAAGCCCAGCGGTACAAACGTTCTGCATTGCTGGGTATCAGGGAGCCAGTTTGGTCGATGGTTATTTCGCTGATAAGAGGTTCCCCAGGGCCAGTTGAACGACTCAAGTGAAACAGCTTGTGGATG